ATTGTCGGGACGACAATCTGGAAGAAGGGGAGTAGTGTTGCACCCGTGGTGTTGCACTCATGTGTCGGCGAGATTTCCGCGCCGACCGGTATCGATCGCGAAAGCGGACAAGAGAGGATCATCCTCTTAGATACGGTTGTTATCGAGCTATCCTTTACTTTGACAGCTGGCTACAACGCTCTGTATTTTAATTAATAAAGTTGCTCTTTACTACGACATCTCTGAGTTTATTACGTGAGTGCGGGAGTGCGCAAGAATCTCGCGCGCGTGTCGCTAGTGCCGCTCTGCGACAAGCGTAACAATATATTACAATAGTAATTAGTTATTTTATAATTTATTGTATTACGTATTTTTTAATCTTTAAATTTTAATACTTAAAACAACTAATAACCATTTATTTTAATTAATATACGAGGGTCATTCAAATATAAATCAAAATTTTTATTTTATTTTTTGTTTTATTGGGCTTAGAAAAAATTACAGTTTTTATTATTTTTTTACATATTCTTTCTCAACAGAAATACATTTTATCCACCGGTTTGGTAACGCCTTAATTTCTGCATCATAAAAAGATGGCGGACTCTCCAAGAATCATTTGCGCACAAACTCCTCAACTCCTGCGTCATCGTCAAAATGCTTCTAACGCCTCCTTCAGCGGCCCGAATAGGTAAAAGTCATATGGTGATAAGTTAGGACTATAAGAAAAGTGCTCAGGGTTGTCCAGTGAATTCTTTCGAGAAAGTGAATTCTTACACGAGAATTTTTTCTCGTGTAAGGGTTACTGTGCGGCCGCGCGTTGTCATAGAGAAAGAAAACATCGCGGATATACTGATTGCGCCGTTTGCTGCGATAAACCCTCACATTGTCCAGCAAACTACAGTAGTACACTGCATTCACAGTTCTCTTACCATGAAGAAAATCCACCAGCAAAATACCATTTGCATCAAAAACGACGGTCGCAAGAACTTTTCCTGCAGAGAGGCGAATTCTTGCCCTTATCCGAGCCTCCTCCCCACTTCTCCTTTACTCCATACTCGTCCTCTTGTTCTCTGGTGTATAGTGATGGATCCACGTCTGTTCAGAGTCGAGCGTAGCTTCCCCCA